CCGGGGTACAAGCCCCCTCCCGCGGGCGTCTGTCGTACCGTTAGCAGTGACGAGAGCCGAGAGCGAGAGCTTCCTTTTTGCCAGCTCTCTCTCACCAGCCTTGTCCTGGCGTGTAAGCAGCTGGGTTTAGAAATTGAAGAACGTGGTAAAACTACACGGAATCTGCTGTAGTAAACTTAGTCCTGTCAGTTCTTACCCTGTGTCTCCTTTCTAGGAAAAATGATTTCTGAAACCAGCTCCTTCGTGAAGGGTCTGGTGCTCGGGGGGGCCTTCTGCATGTTGGTCACGCTCCTTGGACATATTAAGGTGGGCCACGGGACTAAAGCACATCACCACGAGCATCATCACATCCAGGCTCCCAACAAAGAAGATGTCTTAAACCTTTCAGAAGGTGAACGCATGGAGCTTAGTAAAAGTATCCGCGTTTATTGTATCATCCTTGTGAAACCGAAAGATCTGGGGCACTGGGCTGCAGTGAAAGAGACGTGGAGCAAGCACTGCGACAAGGTGGAGTTCTACAGCTCTGAAAACATCAAAGTGTTTGATTCTGTAGCCCTCAACACAAATGATATGTGGATGATGATGAGAAAAGCTTACAAGATAACGTATGAACGCTATAAAGATGAATTCAACTGGTTCTTCCTTGCATATCCAACAACATTTGCTATTATTGAAAATCTCAAGTATTTCTTACTGAAAAAAGACGCCTCGCAGCCTTTCTATATAGGCCATACTGTGAAATCTGGTGACCTTGAGTATGTAGATGGTGAGGGAGGAATCGTCTTAAGCATTGAATCACTAAGACGACTGTCCCGTGTTCTTGAAGACTCTGACAAGTGTCCGGAGCAGGGAGGTATGATTTGGAAACTTGCTGAGGATAAACAGCTGGCAATCTGCCTGAAGTATACTGGAGTGTTTGCCGAAAACGCGGAAGATTCAGAAGGAAAAGACGTCTTTAACACTAAATCAGTCGGTGCTCTCATTAAGGAGGCAATGTCTACTCACCCTCAGCAGGTGGTGGACGGCTGCTGCTCCGACATGGCCATCACATTCAGTGGACTGGCCCCAAACCACATGCACGTGATGATGTTCGGTGTTTACAGGCTGAGGCCCTACGGCCACACGTACAATGATGCGCTTGTCTTCCTTCCGCCTGCAGGCTCAGACAATGACTGACGTCTCCTCGGAGAACACCTGGAACCACAGAGTCAGCTCTTCATCATGACGCATTTGTACTGACAGATTCGATTTTTGTATCTGCTCGTACTGGTGTACAATTTTTTTTTTTTTTTGCACATTGAGGTTTGGTAAAGCTTTTAATTTTAAAAGTGGAAGGAGAACTTTTTTCTACATCTTTTATACAGAAATGCTTCTGGCTTTTGACAGTGCTTGAATGAAATGATAAAGAAGTTGTTAATGTTTATGATAAAAGGAAATTAAGTTTATATGGGGGGTTTGTACCTGTAAATATTTATTAATGAAAACACAAATGAACTTTAGTCTACTGTTACAAATATATTTTTGCAAGACTTACTTTCAATTCTTCCAGGCATTTCTAGAATGTCTTTATATCTTTCTAAGATGTACCAATAAAACTGACTACAGATTCAGTCTCAAAGACTAACTTTAAGCTATTTCCTTTACACTAAACTACACAATAGCTTGAGCTATGCTGTTTGTGCAGCACCTATCGCTTTACGTACAGCCTCCTAACCCAGTAAGGAATTAGCAGGAAGCAAGCTGAGTAATATTAAGTGACCTTTGGACTGCTGGTTTTAAACAGACAAAAGAAACAGAGAACTGTGTTTGAGTAAGTATTAACATGGTCAGGGAGCCTGTTAGCACAAGAGTAATGGCTCGTTTAAAATTTCACTTCATATACAAGTGTATTAGAATAAAGGTTCAGTATTATTTTCACTCCAGTGAGTGGTGCTAATAGTATTTACAAGGAAGAAGTTGGATAACTGTCAATAGAAATGTATTGTAGGTACACAGATATTTTTAACACCAAGATGCAGAAAGAGCAACACGTGCTTGCACTCCCAGCCTTTCTTTGAATATTATGCAAGACAGGTTATGTGCACAACAAAGGAATATGCAGAACTCCCCCATACTGGTTTGCGGAGGGGAGTTGTGTGGTGGGTATTGGTTTTGTTGTTGTTTGTTTTGTTTTACAACTGAGTGCACTTGAAATCAGTTTTATACAAGTTACCAAGTCTTGCTCCCTTCCAGTCACAGCAAGTGGGAATAAAAAGCACTTCAATTATTTACTCCATTTAGAATTCACTGACCTGACCTGGATGTTCCAAGGCTTAAGGAAGGTACTACATCTATCTGCTACACCTCGTACCAACAAAGCCTGTGATAGTCTTACAATATCCATAAAAGACCTGAGAAGATAGTATGTTATCTCACCTTTCTTTAACAGACCGTTTGTAATATCTCATCCTATCCTGAGCTGCAAGGGGGCAGGGGGGGAAGCGAAACAGCTGCTTCAGAGCTGATGAGAATATCCGCATCTTTTTTGTTTTAACCATCAGGTCCTTCATTTTTGACAAGAATGGTAAGACAACAGCTCAGACCCCCAAGCAAGCTACCACAGCTCAGCTGTTTCAGAAAGCGCATCGTCTCACCTTTTGCACGTTCTCCTCCTCCATGTCAGTCAGAGCTCAGCTGACATAGCAGACAAACGTACCTGATTGCTGCTAAAACCTAGATAAAACTTAAGTTAGTATTTTTGATGATGTTTTGTTAAATTGGTATACAAATTAATTGAAGCATGATTTAACTTGTATCTTCTTACAGAATCATTTTTAAAAGGTTAGACCCACAGTTGGGAATATTCTGACAAAGCCAGACGAAGAAAGTAAAATATTGATTTCAGTGGTGTTTCTGATGTTAAAGGCAGTCTGACCCCACTGCAACAACAGCAGTCATAGGGCAAGTCAAGGAAAAAGAATGGGAGTTAACAATTCAAACCAGAATAAATCTCATTTATCACAGATTTGAGAGGTACTGTAACACAACAGGAGGAGACAAGATGGAAGGGGAAAAAGCAAGTCACAGAACTCAAGACTAGCTCGTTTTATGCAAAAAAGAACCACTGAAGCACAAAGTGATTCCCCACAGCACTAACAAGAAATTAGTACATCTATAGCAGGGTCTTTAAGATGCATAAAAATGTCCATTAGCATTCTGAAGGGAAAGTCTGAGGTTTGACCAAACTTTTTTCTGCAACGCTGCTATAATAATCACTTTAACTTTTGTCTTCCTACATCAATAAATAGTTTCAGATTTACCCTGTCATTTTCAAAAGTACAATCTCGTAAATAATTTAACAGGAGAGATTTAAAAGTAGCACGTTAGGTAACACATTCCAACTCCCATGTCTTAATTTGACTTCAGAATCAGATGGAGAACACCTCTGCCACTATCTTCGGTAAAGGTCCCAGAGTGGGGAAACCAAACATGCAGAACAGCACCGAGACAAGGCACTTGCATACAAAGTTACCTTCTGCCATTACAAAATACACGTGTTAGAACAGAGACTTGGAATATTAATAAATGCTTCCAGAGACAGAGTTAGCAATGGTAGACCTTAAAGTTTCCTTAGTTTATTAAGATTCCATGGCACAGGCTGTTTTCCATAGGCGTAGCTTTGGATATGCAGTCGCTGAACAGAGTTGGATTATCCAGACAAATACACAGTGCTCTTTAACCTGTTCTGTAGATGCACACACACATGGCAATGTGCACAAGCCAAGAGCTCTTCTGAAGTTCCACCTGAAGAAGGTGCTCCTGGCTACACTGATAACCATGTTTTGCTATCATGCCTTTGTTAAACAGTGATTTTGTTTCTGCTCCTAAAATAAGGCAGCAAACAGGGAGTAGAGCATCAGGCACCAAGTTGGCACACACTCCATTTGGAGTATGCCCACCATTAACTATGAACTCCACTATAAGAAGGCAGATAGAAATTTGAACATATGTATATTCTTCAGATATGAACTAGCATAAAGGAATTTCTAGTCCACATAGCAGTTTAAGTTCATAAATCCTATACAGATAAATGCATATTAAAAAGAGAAAATCCCTAAGTAAAATACTGAAGTTAATGCTGTTAATAAATTAAGTTAAAAAATAAATGTCAAAAAAAATGATTTCTCCACATTCAAGAAACAGGTAGACTAACAAGATGTTAATCAGAAGAAAAAAATCTGAAATGTTTCAGAGGATTTATAAACCGTATTAATTATACTTCACATACACTTTATACTACTCTCTTAGAAGAGCATAAAAATGTAAACATTTCTTGGCTTTTTCCTCCTTTTTGTTTGAAATAGTCTACTCACAGTCCATGCAGGATCTTTCCATCAGATATCTTCAGTCACTGAAGACTTGGGTTTACGACAAAACAAAAGAACTGCAATAAGAAGAAATCTAGAAAACTATTGTAGCCTAACAGTACTTTCGCATTCACGTGATTTATTTAGCATAGCCACAGAACAAAATAATTTGTACATTCAGTCACATTAAAAACAAGGAATTACAGAGCAGTCCACATTTAATCTAAGTGCATTCCTTTGGAGTAACACAGTTCCTTTTGTTTCACTTGTACGTCTTCATATGCCAAAGGCCATCATTCAAATAGTGGATATTTTCGATACCAATCCCTTTGTTGACCTTCTCACTGTAGAAGGAGGAAAAAGGTACAGAAGTATTAGCTAGGTTCAATATTTGAGCAGTACAAAATACAATATTTAAAGTAGAAAATGCAACATTTGTCAACTGGAAGGGGAGAAGCTATCATGCACAAAGTCATACTCTTCAACAGCAGGTGGACAAGAAATAATATTTGTTATTACATGTACCCACATTGCTGAATGATAAGAGGACAATATTTGCATTCCATGTTTCATCAACAACCCTCCACAATATTTTTAACTACTACTTTGTGGGAGGCAGTTCTTCAGACAACAATTCTGCTACTTTTCCTAATTTTAGCATTTCTCTATCAAAGTAGCACAGCAGTTATAAGTGACTCTCCCCCTCCCAGCACAGGAGGTGGTGTAACACGGCTGGAATGTGGAATTTGACAAGTTCTGGTTCCAAGTGCGCCACTGACACAATCAAATGCAGGTGAGCTGCTTTGCTGCTAGTTGCCGGACATCTCCTCACTTAATAAAGAATTACAAATGCTAAATTTATGTGCCAAGGACTTGCAGCATGTTACAGATATACTATCCTTCTGTATCTCTTGAGTCAAGACATCTTTTTAAAATGACTGTTTTGTGTGTCTGCAATGGATTTGTGTTCATCTTTTTTCCAGTACATTATTCCATGGAGAAATCTAGTTTTGTCACAATAAACAAGACAAATCTCATCATTCTAGGACAGAACAAGTTTCATTCGCCTTGGGAATATAACTTACTCTATTTACACTAAGCATTCCATTACTTATATAATTTGTCCAAAAGTAATCAGGAAGGATAATACTGCTATGTTAATTGCATTAAGACATCACATACCATAATCACACCAAGTGACTGAAATCATACTGTTTCACAATTTTCTGGTTTAAACAGTATCACACAAAAAAGCATGCTAATGGGCTGCATAGATCAGTATCATTTCGTTTTCCTCTCCAGTTCATGTTGCTTCTCACAGGAACAGGATATTCAGCTGCAAGGCTGCTGAATTTGAAGTCAGGATTAGGAATAGGTAATCTTGGTTTGCAGTGATCACAGCAGATCACTGCAGATGTAGGTCTTGGGCAAAAGTAGCTATTCTTTCCACCTACTCTTGGAGTCTTTTGAAGGCACTATAACAAATCCTGAGGAAAATAAATCCTCAACAGCTACAGCAGGTCCAAATCCAGGTTGCTCCAGTCCCACTCTATCCCTGTCCTCTGTAACACATTCCCATCTCTCTCCCTTGTGCTACCATTACGACTTTGGACCACAGAGTGACCCAGTGCAGAAGATGATCCTGCTGAGAATTGTATCTCCACAGGAGAGTGACTAGTTTTCATCAAAATCAGCTTCCTCACCCACACAAGTGCCAGGCAGGGCTGGAATCAATGCAGCCCAAACCTGCTGGGTGCATCTTACATCCTGCTGCAAGACGTTATAGAACTTGAAATGACAAAGTGGTTCAGCTACTTATAATTTAACACTATCTGAACGCTAAGAACAACTAACACCCATTTCCATTTTCTGTCTTTTTTCCTTCTCGAATAGTTTTCAGTTGATGTTTATCCCCTGAACAGACCTCTACGCTTCACAAGAAGCTCAGCTAAGCTAGTAAGCACATCAAGCAGATACAAGGTAAAGAAAAAGAGAAGGCCACAGAGGAAAGCCCAGCTGGTCAACCAAGTACCACCAGGACTTTAGTCTCTGCTGTCGCTGCAGACAAAAATCACTTGAACGTTTTCAACCCCCTCAAATCCAAATTACATCTCTTGCCCAGCCCAGGTAGTAAGTACTCTATACAAATATTTATTTGTTTAGCAAGATCTTTGAGAAAGTATGATCAGAAAGCAAGAAATACTAACATTCAGCAGTAGTGCTAATGTTATGTGTCTTAAAATCCATATTCACATGAAAAGAACTATTTTGATTCCATTCGGTAAACAAATAAGTAGGGAAGATATTCCCTGCCTCCTCTTCTTTCCCTGAATATTAATCAACAAAATGAAATCTTAAAAAATTCTGTACTTGAATGACATATGCTGCAACAGTGATGCAGTGACCTTGACAGTGGTGCTTATATTCCACACTAACATAGGAATAATGATGTGGGACAGGTTATATTTCAATTCTTAAAACACTTACATGTCCTCAGCTGACATCTTCATTACTCCCACACATAATGCATGTTGTTTTCCCTCTGCCATTATTGCCTACAAATCACCACTAAGGAAAACAGATTTTTTTTTAAAACTATTTCAGAAAAGTAGAAGCAATATGAGGAAACGACTTTCCAAAAAGTTTCAAAATCCCGTGCTGAACTTTTACCCATTTAGTAATTCTAGAGCTCTAGCTCGTAAAGATAAGCAAAACAATGCACTGCATTTAACAATTGAATCACAGTGTGTAGAACAAAGCATGTATTTATGAACTTTGCACAGCAATTACAGAAAAAGATATCCCAGTACTACACTCTATTTCTTCCTTTGTGCCTAACACAGAGATGACAGCCTCACCCTTTCTGGAACAAAACTGCACATTTGTGGGGCCATTTTAGATTCCAAGGTACAGAAGAATTGAGACACAAATCTAAAAAAACAAAAGCACTGAAATCAGACGTGTCCTTTTCAAAGCTTAGCAACATGTGATACTAACTGCTGATCTTTTCCTACAGCATCTAACCAACAACAAAAGCAGCACAGCTTGGTATTATTAATGCTGTATTTGCTCAGGGTTCCCCTCATTTTACACATGCTAATTTCATCAGACACATAGAGCAAGTCCTAACTACAGCAAAGCTGATCCTAGACATCCTTCCAAATTCCCTAGGAACAGGAGCAAATTATTCTATTACTGAAGGAGATACACGACTGATTAAGGAGGCAGGGGACAAACTACACTGTACCTCATCTATTTTTAGAGTTCTGCATAAAATCTCAAAGGAGCTCCACTTATCAATTAGATTAATGGAACAGCATCCCACCCAACAGTACAGCAGAGGACATCACAGAAAGTAAAAAAAATTAAGAACAATTTTACAGATAACATCTGAACCTCTGCAGCTGTTTTCAGATTACTAATTATTCCATGAAATACCATTAAAAAACAAAGTAATTCAGATTACAATCAGCTGAGAACACAAGAACAGAAATTTAACTCATCTCACAGCAAGCAGTAATTCATAGTTAAAGAAGGATACAACAACAGTATCAACGGCAGCAGGGTAAAGTTTTGCTCCAGGAGACGTCAGGCCAGGACACATTATATTAGCTCCACTTAGTACAAATTTAATGGCACCTTTATCAACCTGCTGATGTGGTAGAATAAATGGGTCTAGGAGGGGAAAGATACAGTATTACAATTAATACAGTAAGATGACAACATGAATAATTCATTATCAAGTCAGTTTAGATGGGGCAATTAGATACATAGTGCGCTGCGAGGGTAGGAAGTTTGAGAAACAACTACGGGAGCTCCCACTGGGCTGTACTGTCCCAAAAGGACACAAGTACTCTTCTCCCAGACAACATCTTTTATCTGAGAACCAAAGGACAATCCAACACAAGGCCGATGCCTCCTGCATACTCATATACCCATATACTGAGTAACAATTTTAACAAGTTCCCCCAATGAAAACAATCACACAAGTGCCCACATACAAAGAGGTCTTAAATCCCTCAAATTACGTGTATAACCTCTTATACAAAAAAGAAACAGTTTAATGTTAACAGGACAAAAAAGGCAAAGATGGACAAAATTCATGAAGGCTGTCAGCTCTCCAAGCCATCCTTCAAGTGCATGCACCTTCTTGAAGTATTTCAAACATTGAGATTTGACTGAATCACATTTTTAGGGACATCTACGCTCATCCAAATCAGAGTAACACAATCAAGCAGAAAGTGAGAACAGCAAGAAAAATAATGCAAGAGAGTAAGTTGTAAAAAGCAAAAACCATGCAGCATAAGTTATTACAGGAGACAAGCATACATTACATCATTAAACTCATGATTAAAAAATATTTTTCTAGTAAGAACATACAAGTATTTGGAAGGAAGCAAAAAGGATTTAAAGGAAGACTTGAAAGAACAAAGATAAGGACTAACAACAGGAAATTTAGATCTCTGTCCTAGGGAAACCTCTCTCAAGACTTTTTGCAGAGCTTTGCACAATTTAATCCTTAGAAATCAAAGTTTAGATTGCTTAACATATAGCATTACAATAATTATGGGGGAAGCAATCCATATAGGCACCTGAAATAGCAAAGCAACAAGTTACAGTTGAGAAGGTATACTATATCTTTAAGATCTATTCTGGAATATATGTATGCATGTAAGTAGTAAGTTCTTTTTAATTCGGTTCTACAGAAGTCCTGTGGAATCACGCGCTCACCCCTCTCTCCCCACCACTACCATCCTCAGGAAACTTACATTTGTGAAGCAACCTTAGCGTCGGGTAAAAAATCCCTTCTCTTTGTCTGAAGAACAGCAGCTCCCCATTCACAGTGAGAATTTCTATATGTTCATGACTGCAAGATCAGAAAAAAATTATTCCAATAGCTACTTAACCCTTTTATAGTTTAAATTAAATATTTCATTTCGCAGAGTCTGGTCTATCTTGGCATCTGAGAACTAAAACAGTCAATTAGCAAGAAAATTTAAAACTAAAAATGTTATCTTTTTTTATGGCTTGTTCTTCAACACTGGCCTCCTGCACACTTCCTTCCCCTTTAAAAAAAAAGAAAAAAAAAGGAAAAAAAATCTACAGACAAACATCCAGCTGTTCATAAACTGCATTTCTTTAGGTTTTTTTAAATGCAATACAAAGAGTGGACAGGGAGAAGGAATCAGCAAAAATATACTACCCTCTATTTAAAAAAAAAGAAAATAATCCAGATAATATATGGAAGCCCAAAAATAGTTTAAAAAATGCTACTGGAAGCTATCCAAACAAGTTTGAGCTTTCATACCCACAAAGCTGAATGCCTCCCTTCAACAACAGGCTGATCCCTGGAGATCCTCGAATATGTTGCACATTCACTACTAGGCAGCATTTTTGTTTTCCTCAAACATCCTACCAGCATGCCTTCAAGATGAGCACATGCAAACTTTCTGGTTTGGCCATAACATGGCCTATTATCTACTAAGAAATGATAGATGCTCTTCAAAAACACGAGGTTCATCTATTATACAAAATAAACATATAATGGAAGCAATCCTATCACCTTGGAAGCAAAGGTTAAGAGAAAAGAAACTTACCATCTCACTATTTTGACTGGGTCTTTCTTTGGCATAATTTGGTTTAGCCATGGTTCAATAACAGGAAACTGGTCTATCAGCTGATTCTTAATACCTTTAATAACCGAAGTCTTCAGCTGGATGCAGTTTGATACATTCTCCTTTTCATCAAATCTGTCAAGTGAGTGAAAGTGTTTCAGAAATGCACAATTAGCTGCCCCAAAGATGCCGTATCACAGCAGCATCCTTCAGAAATGTCTATAAATTCTCTACAGCACCTTAGCAGTACCGCATCTGTCCAACTCTCAAATCTAGGACTTCATGAGGCTTAAATCTGTCCCCTGGGAACACTGGGCTGGGGGAAGGCAGGGAGGTTCCCACTAGTAGGCCGTCTTTGTCCCTAAACTTTGTCTACATCCATGAAGCATGTTTTTAGTCTCACAAATACACCTTGGCACACAGCGTTATTTCATCTAACTCGTAGAGTAGACTTTACCGGTAACGCCAACACCTATGGCCCTGTTCAGAGGTATCTATACAAGCCCTTCACCTTTACTGCAGACGTACGAACTGCGCTTTGTACTATCCCAGAGCCCAGACAACTTAATGGCACAGCTTACTTTTTAGTTTTCTTTTAACAAGCAAGTGCCTCCGCAGCCCAGGCCAGCGCGCCCGAAGGCGAAGCTGACGGCTGAGGGCGCGCCCTGCGC